TATATATATAAAACCTCCAAGCTTTAATATTGACATAAAAGTTTGAAAAAGAAATTTATAATTCAGGCAAGGACTAAAAGGAAGTAAATCTACTCCTTGGTGCATTCGTTGAGTTATAGTTAAACCTCACTGTGTGCTTTATGTATAATAAAATAAACAACATTTTGAAGGTGAATATGCTCTGATGGAAAAATCAGTGGCATTCAAACACACCTAGGGCTGAGGTTGGAAGGGTCTAGTGTAGTTGCTGTAACTTCCTGTTGTTGTTTTTTCTGAGACCGACCCGTGCAGTGGGTGATGGTCTTATGGCGGGATGGCCGGAGAGGAGACCTCCCAACGGCGTCCTTTAGATTCTCGGCTCGATGGTGCTCGGTCAGAAGAGAAACAGACTCAGTGTTGTCAGGTTCCTCCTCATCTGTACCCCCTTCATGTCCTTCCTGGGCCTCACTAACTGTGGGTCGACCTTGGACCACACGCCCGTTTCTTCTTCCCCCAGCCTGGAACAAAAATGAAAGAATGGTAAGTTTCCAGTTAGGGCTGGGAGATATTCTTCACAGGAAGGAATACAATTACTATGAGGTCAATGTCTGAAACAGGTAAATGGGTTTTCTTATAAAATACCTCAGCAGCTTCACTGCATAAAAAATATAGCTCTATCGTCTTTCTGCAGCTAATGACTGGAACAAATTCACAAATAATTTATAGCTTTCTAATATCCACTTTCCCATGACAACTATAATAAAAGGACGCTTGCTGTAAAAATTGTGAGTGAAGGAAGATTCCTGCCGAGAGAAACCCAACAGAAATCTTTGGAGAAGGACCTGCCAGACAAATCCTTTTGAATTATTCAAACCTTTAGTTTTAGCTTAGCCAGAGTTTTGCAGAATTGTTAATACCTCTCTAACATTTTTATCTTTTATTTTTTTTACAACCACCAACATCAATAAATCTACAGGGAGCTGTGGGATAGAAAAGCATAAAGTAGAGGATCTGTGAAGTTGAAAGATGATGATATATTATAATATTTAAATATTTTTCTAGAAAAAAAAAGAGTCAGAAAAAGCCCCCCACTTCTATCAGCTTTGCACATCTGGAGTCTGAAAATTTAGCTCATTCCTCCTTGGATAATAGCTTATGTTCAGTCAAAGGGAAACACTCTTAATTGAATATAGCTCTGAACTTTGTGCCATTCTGACTCACAAATATTCTGAGATCTTAGCTTTCGATTGTAGGCTTGGCTGTTTGTCAAGTGATGTTGTAATGCAAGGAATGAAATCTCATCCCCAGTTCACATTTTGAACAATTTTTCTTCAAGGACTCCCCTGTGTTAATTCAAAGGTTGGCATGATTAATGGTGCATTCTATTTGTCTTCGGAAGTTTACAACTTACAAATCGTGAATTTAAGCTATAATGCCCCTAAAGGCAGAATTACGAGTCAAAAAGTTGGTGGTACCTGACTTCAAGACTACTTGAATTGTAATTTGCTACTTTGGCTGTTTGCTCAGTTCTCTATCATGTAGAGCGCATTAAGTTAGTGATTCAGACAATTCTTGTAATGATGGATCATGTATTTTATATGTTATTCTGTGTATATACACAGAATAAGACCCAGAACAGTGTTTTTTGTCATTGGTATGCTGTAAACAGTGGCCAAAGTCCCAATGGAGAATTACTAGGGTCTGCAGACTAAAAATTGGAATGGTTATACCTCAGGGAAAATGTCACTCCAACTTATTAGGTTTGAATTCAGAGAATAATAAAAGGTAGCTGTTGAGGGTAAAATGTTAATGAAATTAGAGGGAAGTCACATCGCTTCAACAGAGATTACTTAAGCAGCAGACACCCACTCTGCGCTTACCTCCCTGTGGCTCTTTGGCATCGATAGAGTGCTTTACACTACATTCAAGATGGCATCGATAGGGGGGACTTGATTCATTGATTGATTGACTTTATCGATCTCACAGTACTTGATACATCATCCCAAATAGTCAAAGGAGTAGGATCACTATACGGGGTTATTGCACAGGGTGTTTACATGGATATTTATATAGATGGATATTTATATTCATATATGTATATATAGTAATTGCACTGGGTATCAGATATAGAGACACAGGTTTTTTCACAGGGTATCAAATAGTAACTGCACATTATACATTGCACAAGTTATTGCTGAGACATTGGGGTCAGCTGAGGCAACTTCCATGGCAGCCAAATCTATGCTTGTTAGACCGAGTGGGACTGCACACTGCCTGCTATTCAGAAAGAACTGAACATATTGTCTTGTTTTTCCAGCATTTTAAGCCAAGTTGAACGCAGTGTTTTGTAAACCCATCTGCTGTACCAGATGAGAAGACTACCCAGTTCTGTTCAGTCCACGGAACAGCCAGGCCCACTTGCTGTTGTGGTGAGGAGCCACTAGGAGCCACTGAACCATGCCACACTGGTCCTGCCGCTACCTTGAACTGTGAAACCGCCAGTCCTTGATGCAATGGTTTGGCTACTGTTTGGAGCTGTGGTGAGCTGCTATAGCTGCTATAAGCTATCTGACACCTTAAGAGGAAGCCCTGGCCAAGGCTACTCTACTTGTTGGATGAACTGTTCCTGAACCAAACAAGTGGGGCTCTGGGACTGAACCAAAACCCCTGTCCATCCACTCCACTGAGCCAACAAATAAACCCCCTTTCCCCTCTTTTCATCTGATGCCTAATGATACTCTGCTTGGGTGAGCGATAGGTAGAATAGATATTTTTTTACATGCGTTCTTTGTTTTTTGTTTTGAAAGAACAACTGTTGATGGTGAATGCTAATGCTCAATGAGCCTGACTGAACAGTCTAAGCTGTGTGTTACCATCTGCTTGATTTCCTTTTTTAAAATTTGTTTGAATTACAAGTCCATGATTAAGGCCTCTATGGTTGGACTGGCTTGCATCGTTAGCTCCAAGCAACTCATTGCTATGGAAGCAGCCATTTTGTGAGTTCTCTAACCTTTTTGTTTTAGCTGCCCTGCCCCGGAGCTGCATGTCCTGTGCCAGCCGAACTAACCCTTTCTGTCCAACATCACAACGTTTTCATGTATTTCTGAGTCCTTGTTCAGTTTTCAGTGTTTGAAAGACTTAATGCGTATGCAGTAGGGTTATTCACATTTATCTGATGCTATTTTTAAAAGACAACTTGAGTGCAATGAGCCTAAAAACTTGAATGTCCCTTAGAGACTCTTGAGCAGACTCTTAACTCCCCTTTTGTTTGGTTTTATTTACTTGTTCTTATTTTTAGTAGTGCTAAGTGTACGTGTATGTATTAGATACAGTAATACTTTGATATGGATTATTAACTAATATAGGTCCAATTGTGTTTTAACCTGTGATCTTTTGTGGTTATTTTATGCGGTGAACGATTTATCACTCTGGCCAGATCCATCATCCTTTGGTTAACATTTCAATGTACAGAGACAATTTCATTGGTTGGTGATTAATAACTCCGCTGATAGCTATAGTAAATTACTAAATTGGTGAAAACACCTGGATTCTAACAGCCAATCCAGAAGTCCAAGACTAAGAACCTTGGTGAGTAAGCAAATTAGAGTTATAATCATTTAACTAATAATCATTAATTGGTTTTAGACTCATTTTCGCTAACCTATTAATTAGCTATAACTTCCAGTTCTAGTTATTTAATATATTCCCAATCCTCTGGTAAAACTGCACAACACAGCATTAGTTCCAAACCAAGCCCCACCCTCCCCTAAACCTTAAGGCCTGTTAACCCCTTCTATTTTCTTTTTGTGGTTACATAAAATAAGGTTGATGGGTGATTGATAGAGAATAGAATATTCTTTTGGTTCACATGCTCAAGATATTCACATGATTAAATGTATATAAAAAATGCTGGAAAGAAGAAATACTGCAATCTCAAAAAACATAGAGCAGCAAAGAGCAAACATGACGCAAATACATAAATTATGCTAATACACAAAACAAATGCAAAGAGAGAATATGATGCAAGTAGCACAAGATAAGAGCACAAGATAAGAAAAGTGACTTACTAGCTCCACATAATGGGAGTGCTCTAGACTGCTAGGGGAGGACGATTATTAGCTCAAATTCGACCAGACCATAGCAGACGCAGGAAATGCATGGCTATGAAACCAGAGCTATGAGACCAGAGAACATTTGGGGAGAAGAAACAAAAGTTGGATATTTTTTAAAACACTTAACCTCCCTGACCAACCCTTTTTAGTCTTTACTGACAGTCTGGTCCCATATGTGTCTATAGTCGTCTCCTCCTCGTGGTCTGGAGCACTTCCATTTATTCCACACCTGCTTTTTAGTTCCCTTCACTGGCAGCTGGTTTTGCTACCTAAAGCATTTTCCCTTTGCATGTGTTTTGTGTATTTGAGTGTTAGCATCATGCTTTTGCAGTGGGTTTGGTCTTTCCAGTGTTTTCTCTTTGCATCTCTTCATTTTCTTTGGTTACAGCCTTTCTTCTTTTCCTTGAAATTACTTTTGTGTGGTTAGGTTTTTATTTTTGTTTTCACTAGTCTAAATCTTTAATTTGCTAGTTTAATTTCTGCTTCGGCAGGACTTTTTCAACTTGCTTTGACTTTATGCATTGGCACAGCATTTGCAGCACTCAGTCACCATAATGCTTAGAGTTTATGTTCCATTCCTTCTGTCTAAGCAGTAAGCTGTGTACTGATGTGTAGTGATGTTGCATCATCATTTCTAAATTATCTTTTTTTTACTCATGATGCAACATTCTTTGCAAAATGTTTAACATTTTATATAATTAATTATAAATACAGTAAATATGTAATTACTCTTATGCACAACCAATAATTAAAGAGAGTACTCTCGCTTTTCTTGTTACCGGTATATAGAAAAAATATACAATTTCCTTTTCATGTAAACTTAACTGGAGTGTGAGGGCTTGTTATTATCTTTTATGTTTTCATGGTTTTATGCTCACTACTCTGCAGGAGGAAACACCATAGTTTGGATACAGTGACTTTCTCCCAGCTTGGATCCTTATACAACTTCTATTTAATATTATTACATTGACTGTCATATATTTAGACAGTCAAGATATTAATTCCCTGCACCTGCAGATTGACACTAAAAAGCAACATTTTGACAAAAAATGTTTTTTGTTTTTTTTGTATTGTAGATATTGTATTGTATTGAGATTTAACTGGCTATTATTACAATTTTAAAGAAGTACATGTGTTAATCTACTCCACCCACTATAGAAAAGTTGAAGTGTTATAATCTTTGCAGGGCATTGTAAATAATGAGCTGGTACCTGAGACTCATCTCCTGCTGTTGACAGTCAGGTAATAAATGCTCAATGGATCCAGCAAACAACATGTTGGTTTTGTATCACAGCTTCTCTTTCTGCGGGAGCAATTTCGAAGGGATCTTTGCTCAGTTATTTTCCAAACTGTGTAGAGGAACGTAACAAATAACTGTGCCGCTTACACTGAGGTGCTGCAGGAAATGTATTCCCTACAATATCCTGGTGCTACTATGTAATAGCCGAAAGAGCAAAGTGAACAGCACCACTCAAACAGTCCTGTATCCTCAGGTGCCTCCACCTATCTTCATTTACTGAGTGCTGAGATTTAGGCTGTCCCTCTGCAGATGAGCTGCACCTAAAAGCCCTGCAGCATGTATTGCCAGTGTGTGTACTGTATTTGCGTGTACACAGGATTTGTGTTTGTGCAACAGAATATAACACCTGAGAGTAATTACCAAAACACAGCAGCAGAGCAGGGCCAACTATCTCAGCTATTTTTTGGCCTCTTTCTACAAAATCTTAAGACACTGCCCTATATTTTCTCCATTAGGCTCAGCTAATAACCCAAACAATGATCTCTCACACTTGTTGTGCCTAAGCTGAACTTTAACAACCAATTAGTTCACATGGAAAATTGATATGCAACTTTAAAATGAGAATCATAAAAGAAGTACAGACACACACATGCACACCCACCAGTCATTACTATTAGAAACCCACAAGACCAAATATTTTACCCTACCACAAAGTCAATTCTTTACATTTATCATTGGAAATAATTATAGTTCCAACATTTTACTGTGGTTTGCAACATGGGCTTCAAATGGGTAAATTGACTTTTAATCGGAAAAATAGATTGTAATAAATTGCGGTTTCCTTGTGAGAAGATATATGTGGGCAAAACTACTACTGACAAAGGATATAAAGATCACATAGAAACCGTTTAAAAAAATCTGATTTAGTTTTAACTATTTTATTAGCAGCAGAGACAACATAAACAAATCCTCATGCATCTTGGAAGTGCCTCTGGTACGTTTATTAATCAACTCCCTACTGGTTGGATGTACTCACGTGTATCTCATGTCCTTCTCTCAGATTGTACGTGAGGTCCCGCTGGATGTCCTGGACAAAATGGTGAGAGTATTCAGGGTAGAGGTCCAACACCTCATAGAGCCCCTTCAGGTTGATACACTGCAGGTCACAGTAGGTCAGGGCTTTCACATCTGCGTTGGTTTTTATGACGCGGTTGTCTAATGACAAGTTCGCTCCAATCAGGTCACCCTTACCTGCTCAGAGAGAGACATGATAAGAGGGTTAGCTATGGGGGCCACTTCAAAATGTTTTCACTCTAATAAAAGGGTTTCAAGATGCAGGCTGTGTAGCACTAATGCAAACATGTATGATACCTATCTTTCATTCTTTAAATTTACTTTAAAGGAAATAATTTGGTTGAAAGAACTTGGCACTGATGATAAGGCATGATGTGGGCCATTTTTTATGATTCAAATGGGAACCTTATACCACTACTGTATGAAGCATGATCTGGTATTTTTGGGACTTCTTCACAAGCATTACAAGTCCATCATTCATGTAGATAAATATAAAAGCTCTCTTGGGACATTTTTGGACCTGTAAGTTACCATAAATGGATATATATATATATATATATATATATATATATATATATATATATAT